CTATTAAGTGTGTAACATAAAAATTTTGTAAACAGGTAGGATTTTTTTGAATTGTTGTATAAGTAAATGACAAATAAAATTATTAAAGGCTCACGGATCCGGAACTTAGAAAAGTGCGCAAAATTATGCTAAATTGACAAGTACTATCAAATTACTATGACGCCATAAATTACACCACATGGCCTCACGATTTAATATATAAAGAAAACCATCTGCCTTTCTGCCGCAACAAAAGTTCAGTTTGACGCACGCATTGTTTTTGCAATTACCGGCTCTAAATAAAATGTATCGATTATTTATAATGCGATTATTAGGAATTTTTAAAATATAATTTTTGCGTCTCTAGCAATTCAATCTGCGCTATAAAAGTCAATTAATTTAAGACAAACAAGCGAATATACGCGAATATTATGGTGTGAATATACGGCCTTCAATACAGCGACAAGATGCGGCGAATTCGATCCTCGGCTTGCGTCATGTGATATGTTCTAGAGGTCTGGACACGAATGAATTTGGACGGGGGGTTATCTTGTGTTAGCTTAATTAATATTGGCGGAGATTTGACGCTATCGTTCAACTCCGTCAATATTCAACATGTGGTAATTTTTTTCAACATATTTTGAACGTTGAAGTTGTGATGGGTGCTAAATTCGCGGCATGTTCAATGTCCGGTTTAACTTCAATGTCAAAAACACATGGGTGTTCAATGTCATATTTAACTTCAATGTCGAAAATATGTTAAATGTTCTGCATGTTCAATGCCAGATTTATCTTCAATGTCGAAAGCACGTAGGTGTTGAATGTCCTATTTAACTTCAATGTCGAAAATATGTTGAATGTTCTGCATGTTCAATGTCAGATTTATCTTCAATGTCGAAAGCACGTAGGTGCTGAATGTCCTATTTAACTTCAATGTCGAAAGCATGATATACATGAATATTGGCGGTGATATGACGCCATAGTTCTGTGGCCTGACTGGAATCCGATTTGGGAGGGGTGATATATATGCTAAAGCTAAAGCTTACTAAATGTATTCATTGCTGTAAACTTACAGTTAATATATGGGCTGAATTGACGTACAAAGTCCATAAAGATCATAAACAGTTTTCATACCATTTTCCCCATCTTATTCCAGTTTTTTCTAACGGACCATATCACTAAACAAGTTATCATCCTCTGATACAACGATAGCATTACTTTTTAAATCGAGATCAAAATACGAAATTTCGGCACAATTCTTGCAAGCTTCGTGTTAACCGTGCAGACAGAAAAAATAGAAAGGGAATAAAACCGACGTTCATTCAAGCTCTCAATCCAGGTACATATCTAGCTCACTGGCTGTATAGCGTGTTGCATGCCGCCAATTACTGACGTCATTAAAATTCCACTTTTGAAAAACAATGCGTCATATACAACCAATTGAAAAAAGGATGTCCTTTGCAAACCTTAAACTCTAAACCTTAAACCTTAGACTCTAAGCGCGCAAAGCTTAATGGGAATACAAGTTTCAAGCTTAGAGGTTGAATATTGCAGCTATTTGTGAATGAATTGTTCTCGTAAGGAGATATTTACCATGTCTCTAAGAAATGGGCCCCATATATGATTAAATGATGGTCCCATTATGCTTTGCACGGTTAGAGTATAACGTTTAAGGTTGCAAAGAACAACCTTTTTTGAATTGGCTGTATATCTCATTATTTCGTCCCAAGCCCGTAGTTGGCTCTCAATAGCGAACTTAAGCAAAGCTTAATCTAGTACGGGGACGTGTCGAGAAACCGCCTTAAATTTTACACTTTTATAATTATAAAGAAATACTGTTATTAAGAACTTCAACAAGCAGGATAAAAGTGCAACCAAAACAGCTAATAATATCATATTAATGCAAGAAAATGAGCAGAAATTAACAATTGAAATCTCACCGACGTTTTAGACGTCGCCGTAGCTCTGTTTTACAACGGCAAAATACAGATTATCACGTCTTGTATACAACGCTTACATTTCAAGCTGAAACAACTGCTATTTTAAATTGGGTCCTAGAACTTTTCTTAATCATAAACCCTGTGTTAACCTTGATCCTTAAACAGTATTATTTTTATACGATGGATAATAAACGACGTGTTTTCTTCTGAAATCATTTGGTTCAACAAGTTTGTTTGCCGTCGCCGTCGCGTTCCCGTCCTACATGCTTAAGGTCGCTAATTTCTGAGAAGGGGGGGGGGGGCACTGCAGAAAGAATGTAACAGAGGGTTTGAAATGAGGGGTTGAAATTTTTGTTCTGACGACCTCCCCCTCCCCCGTCGACAACTTTTTAGGTAAAAAAATTTTCCGGACGAGTACATTGCAATTGGTTTCCAGGTCCTTTATCTCAATTTTTCATACCAAATTTCGGTACTTAGCCCAACAAAAATAACAACATTAACAGCTATTAGTTCTGCAAAACGTAAGGGGGGCATGATTTCAATTTTATTTCCGAGTGGGGGGCACTGCCCCACCGATTGGGGGGCACTGCCCCCCCAGGCCCCCCTCAGCTACGGGCCAGTTTCGTCCGGTGACCTACGGTTCAATCTTTATACGCTGTATTGTAGTACGAAATCTATCAAACATCTATAAAACATTTTATCGACGGAAACAACATTTTTGCGTTTTGTTAGAAAATGGCATAACGTGCAGAATATTTTATATTTTGCTTCCTGTTAGTCTATGTTTTATGTAAAATGGTGTTAAAATAGTGTTTTTAAAAGCACTTGAATATTAATAGTCTCTATGCACATTGAATTATCCATTTTGTCAATATTTATATAATCGTAGACAAACTGTCTATTAAAAACTGTCTATTAAATTGTATAATTTACCTTAAAAAGATAAACAAAATTAGTTTCTGAGACATTTGTGCCACAGCGAAAACAACATATTGGCAGCATGTTGCTATATAATGTACGATAACTCATGCATGTGAGTTTAAGTAAGCCAACTTATCATGTTTTGTAAAGGTCATGTTATTCAGTTTCTATGATTTTAAATCGTCGTCTACACATGCACATATAAACTATACCACCAAATAAAAACTCAAAGAAAAATGCAACGCACAGGGGAGCGGTTGAACGAAGGCCAGATATCGTTATCTACTAATCGATACTTTTCGAAATTGTCAGTTGATTAGAATGACCTGTATTAAATTTAGTAGAATTTATGAAATAAAATTTCTTTTAAAATTTTTATAGTTAATTATATATGGACCAATTCTTAAGTTGAGCTGATAGAATCATTATCTGATGGACAGCGCTAACCTCTGTGTCGTTGCATGCAATAGTGCATAAGTCATACGACCTCCGCACTAAAAAACGCTTAGAACATATACCAATATAAACGTTTACTAGAAGTAAAGATGCCTTTCAACTAGTGTGAATTTTCCCATTTGCGGTAGAACTTCAGATAGTTGCCACTTAGGAAAATTATCCGTGGATTGGAACGGTCATGCAAGAAAATGTTTCTTTGTCTTGTGAGCTTTGGGTTGGAACATTTTTATGTCCGTTCCAATCCACGGATAATTTTCCTGAGTGGAAATTAGCCCGCTTTAAAAATATTTAGTAAGACTTGTCAACCAACTACCAGCATTTATCTTTTGTTTCTGGCAGGTGTTTTCACCAGCTTGGCGAATTTGTTCGCGCGAAGTGACTCTTCCCTTTGTCGGCATCGCTTACACGTCAGTAAAAAGCCAAAAGTACATGTTATGTTTTGCTTCATGCAAAACACGGTGAGGAAAATAAGCAGAGTCATGACAAAATCTGTGAACTCGTACGTCTATAATCATCGTTGTATCATTTGATTTGACGAAAAACTTATACTTACGAGTTAGAAAAAACACGTTCTAGAGCAAAGTGAAATATTCTATTTAACTGAATTCCGGACAAAACCTAAGCAAATCTGCTGTTTTTGCACGAAATTTGACCAATATGCTGCTAATAATTGGAATATAATGAGATTCTTGCAATCTGTCTATTCATTCATGCAGGACTCCCTACATTTTATTAATATTTGCAACAAAACCCAACAAAATCAAGAACTGCAGCATTGCAAGAAATTAGGAAATTTTAATGAAATTGAATATAGATTTTATGTCAATGCTTTAGGTGACTGTAATTAGTGTAAACTATTTTGTATACAAATATCAGGATGATGCTAAAACGACCAATTTATATCGAATCTTGCAACACTTCATTTTTTGTGGCAAATTATTGTCTAAAT